GTGAAAAGGGGCTGAGTCAGCTGGCCGAGCGCACGCACAGGGAGGTGGAGCGGCCTGGCTGGCCCCTCTGTGTCCAGCCGTGGCCCCCAGCCGTGGCCACCAAGCTGCCCTCATACCTTGGTTCTGGAAGAAAACAGGGCCAGATTTGGGGAACCTACATGCTTAAGAGTCTTTTCCGACTAGGCTTCTTGGGCTGCGAAAGGGTCACTTCCTCTTTTGAGCCCTGAAAGCAGAGAGGAAGTTTGGGAGGTAATTTTAACTAAAAGTCTGTTGCTTTTTCCTCTAACGAGGTGGGGTTTATTGCAATTTTCCCTGCGGCTATTGGCCAAAGCTCTGGTCAGAGACCCCCAAGGCCACGTGGCATGAACCGAGCATGACGGTCGGAGCTGCTGTGGAGCGGCCTTCACAGCCCCGCATCTGTCCTGGGGCTCAGGACAGTGGTCGCAGAGCCCAGAACCCTGGTCGGGAAGCAAATGGTAACACAAGACTTAGTTCCGCGTGGGCAGGCCCAGCTGTCCCGAGGATGAGGAAGGCCACTTCCAGGCCAGGACACCGGCTCGCACTGACCGCAAGGAAGCCCAGAACTGGAACACTGATGCTGAGCTCACTAAATTCTGATTTGTGTCATGATTCTTCACAATGAAAAACATCTAGAACAATCCCTTCCTCGGTGCACAGGCGGTCCCCCTCACCATGGGTCCCTCTCACCGTGGGCCCCCCTCACCACAAGCCCCTCTCACCGTGGGTGCCCCAGATCTGGGCCCTCAAATTCACGATTCTTTAACTGTACACTTAACTGTTGCACATCCTAGTACTTTTTGGACGCTTTATTTTATTGTAGCGGGTGAGCGAGTCCTGGGTTTGTTCCGCCAACAAGTAACGTTTACAAACAACCCCTCCAAGTCACTGTCTTTTGAAGCACAAAGTGCAGGCTTTCCATCTGGCCCAACCCCAGCCCCTGACCCCGCCAGCCTGGCTCCCTCCCTTCCTTGACTGTTCCGTCCCCGTCTGGCCCTGCTGAGGACACGTTAAACTCAGACAGTGACACAAACTCTCTTCCTTCACAAACGGTTCTTCATTTTCACATGTGGAGGTTTTATTGTAAGATAACAGAAAACCCGATCAGCTATAAAAACAGAAGTTGAGTTTTCCAGGATTATGATGTGGATGTAGGGATAACTGGACCTTTTCCGGGAGTCTGAGATGCTGGATACGTCTGTGCAGACAGCCGTGCACGTCCAGTGCTGAGGGCAGCGTGCAAGGTCCCTGATGGGCTCAGGTGCTCGCTGGGCAGCCGTGAGGGGAATCAGAGCCCACACGTCCCTACGTGGTGGCTGCAAGCCACCCTCCAGTGTGTATATCACCCCGGCTCGACAGCCCTGCAAGGGGGACCCCTCCAGCTCTTCTCAGTTGTTGTCCAGTTCTGGGGTCCCCTACACAGATTGCACCACTTTTAAGGCATGAATTGCTGTATCTTCAAAGTCTGGACACCCTAGACTCTAAGTGCGCTCTTCATGGCTGGGATGGTGAGGCCTGTCCCTGAGACGGGTGACAGTTCTGGGCTATGCTTCACTCACAGCTCAGTGAAAGAAATTGGTCAGGTTCAAGGCTCCACAATTTATCCACACCCTGCCCCCCTTCTTTTTAGGAAGTGATCTTTTAAAAAAGCGACTTTTTCCCCCCTAAAACTAAAATGTGGGGCCAGCCGAGTGCACATTGGTTAGGAGCTGGCTTGGGGGCCAGCTCTGAGCAGCAGGGCCCCGGTTCAGATCCCACATGAGGGTCAGTGATGCTGCGCCCTCTACAGCTAAGATGGTGAACAACAGCTCGACTTGGAGCTGGGCTGCCGTGAGTCGCCAGTGATGGCGTAGGCTGCAGTGGGGCTGGCCTGCAGCTGGCCGGAGCCTCCGTGAGCTGCCATGAGGGGCCATCCAATGGCCAGCAAGCGGCTGCCTCACCAGGGAAGAGCACAATGAGAATACCAACATGGGCCAGTGAAGCGACGTCCTCCACAACTAGACTGAAGAACAAAAGGACAGCAACTTGTCTGTACCCCTCCCCCAATTCCCAATAAAATCTAAAAAAAATCCAAAAAGCTAAAGTGTGGCTCTAAGCCTCTTGATTTTGGAGTCTGGAAAGAATCCTGGTCAGTGGCTTTTCTGTCTGGGCGAAAGCCGGCCGCCATCCTCGGATCGCTGCCCCTTGCCAGCGGGCACTGGGCCTTACAGGGCGGGGGTTTGCTGTGATGGCCGGTGGGGAGGGGTGGGGCATCACTGAGGACAGCGCCTGGTGTTTGGGGTGAAATGGGACTTGCTGGGTCTTGGTCCTGACGGTTCCTGGGCCTGAACCCACCTCTCTCCTGGCCCCTCACAGGGCGCCTGGGCCACACGTTGTGTCCTCCCCATCACACCTGCAGGGTCGGCCAGAGGAGGCCCCGTCCCGCCAGCCTTGTCCTCCGTCTACAACTTCCTCCAGCCTCAGCCCGGCCTCCCCGAGACCAAAGACTCTGTTTCCCTTTGCTCCAGGGGCCAAGCTCAGAGTGCCCGTCCTTTGTGATGCTGGCCATGCACCTGAAGGGGTCTGACTCAGTGGGGGGGGGGCGTGCACCCCAAGGAAGGCTCAGAAGAGGGGGTTCTGGGGTGGCTGGGGCTGCCTCTTGGCAGGCTGCTCCGCTGGCTTTGCAGGGACAAAGCCTGCTTCCTCCCGGCCACCCTCACGGGCTCAGACGTTGACTGCAGCCCAACCGAAGTCCCCACTATTAGAGACTGGCTAAGGGCCAGGTCATGGTGAGACGTCACAGGGGGCCAGGGCCCTGTGCAGTGGAAATGGCGCTCTCTGCAACGGGGCGGGGCTGGGCTCATGGGCGGGGCCTGGCATGGGGCACGCACTCCCTGCAGTGGGTGGGAATGGGGCCGTCCGTATCTGTGTGGTCATCACATGGGGCAGAGAGCCCGGAGGTCGGCACAGTGCCCGGTGTCCCAAACTGTGTCTGGACCTCAGCCAGGCGGCAGGCCTGCATGTAAGTCCCCGGCCTCCCTACTGCCCCAACCTCTCCCCTCGCCTAACCTCCTCCGGACCATCCCCATTTCTCGTCTTCCTCTCCTTTTCTTGGGGGCTGTAGTGGGTTGAATAGTGTCCCCAAAATTCATGTCCTGGAGACTCCGAATGTGGCCTTATTTAGACATAGGGTCTCTGCAGATGGAATGAGTTAAGACAAGGTCACCCTGGGTTAGGCTGGGCCCTCAATGCAATGCCTGGTGTCCTTATATGTGGAGAAGGGACAGAGGAGAACACCAGACTGCAGGGTGCGGCCCCACACCAAGGGTCACCTAGAGTCTCGGGGAGCTGGGGGAGATGTGGAAAGGCCCTGCCTCAGAACCCCTGAGGGAGCCAGCCCTCCCACACCTTGGTCTGGGCCTCCGGCCTCCGGCCTCCAGAGTGGGCGACTGGACTTCTGTGCTGAGCTGCCCAGGACTCTCAGCAGCGTGGGTGTGCCTCCATCTGCTGCAGACCCACGCACGGAGGCCCTCCCTGGCGCGGTCCTGGGGTCCTGGGCCCGGCAGGCCCCTCAGGTTGCATTTTGCCAAATCGCGGTATTTGCTCCTGTCATCTCCTGGTCACTTCCTGGGGTCAGGGAGATGGCGAGGGGGGCGTGCCCTGGACGTGCTGAGCAGCAGTCCCGGCTGTGCCCTGGTCCCCTGCCTTATTTAGGCCAGCAGCTCCCCGAGTCGGTGCGCAGACCCCCAATGCCTTCTGGGGGACCATTCTCCCCTCACAGCCAGTCCCTGCCTGGGGAATGGGGAACCCCCACTCCCCTTCCCTGGTCACCTGCTCCTAGCAGCTCTGGCATCTTAGACAGACTCAGGGTCAAGGGGCCAGTGACTCAGGGAGATGACTCACACTCTCTCAGGTGAGGGGCAGGGCCCTGTGCTCCAACCACAGTGGGAGGTGGGCAGGCAGGACTTGGGGGGGCGGGGGCTGAAGGACGTGAGGGAGGGAGGACATTGGCCAGCTCTTGGCCCAGACCTGGGTCCTTAGGAGCCTTTGATCTGGTGGCGCCCTGGTGGTGGGGCAGGGGCGGCTGTGGGCCAGGAGGACCACAGGGGCAGGGCTAAGGCTGCCCGCTTCAGCTGCCGATGACCTTTGGGCTGTGCATGTTGTGGGGGGAGGGGCGGGCCAGTCGCCAAGGACAGAATTGTCCCGGGTCAGATAAGATGGCTGCCTTCTCGGGGGAGGTGTACTCTGAAAAGCTGGGCTTGTACGGAAATAAAGCCGAGATGCACTGCCGTGGGGTCGGAGGACCCAGAGCAGCCGGCCGCTGCCCCTGACCAGTGTCTCGCACCCAGGCCAGGGCTGTTGCAAAGCCGCAGCTGCCTGCACTGGGTGGGGCAGAGCAGACGGCCCGTGGTGGCCGTGGTCACAGGGAGTGTCCGAGCTGCAGGGTCTGGTTCTAGCCACCTTGCCTTACAGGAGAGGAAGCAGGCGCAGGGAGCAGGGAGGACTCAGGTCACTGGGGCAGGTGCTGCCCCCTGTGAGTCACCCTGTCACTAACTTCGGTTTCACCTCCAGATGGATGTTGACTGCTCACCTACTATGCGCAGGAGCCATGGGCACCAACAGCAGTGCCAGGTTCTTGTGCCCACCCGGCTGGCTCTGAGTGTGCGATGGGCAGACTCCAGCCTCTGGCCTGAGGGCGTCAGGCCCCAGGGGCCCTGCTGGGTGGGGAGGAGGCTGATCTAGAACGTTCCGGGCTTGGCTGTTCACATGTGTCTCCTCCTGAGGCCAGTGCAGGTGAGGGTGGGAGGCAGGGGCCCCGCCTGCCCTGTCCGCCCTGCGGAAGTAACCTGGGGGGGCCGGGACCCCCCTGGCAACAACTAAAATGTGTCCAGGTCTCGCCCAGCAGCCCCTGGGGGACAGAGATCCCCCCCGGGGTGAGAGCCGACAGGGTGAGGCAGGGGCCCCAGACCCGCTGTAAGGACGAGCTGAACTGACAAGGCCACTGCACACAGCTTACATCTTGTATTCTCTTACATCGAGTTTGCAGGAACAGATGTCAAACACAGGCGTGAAGCCCATCCCCAGTCAGCTGAAGGGGGGCGGGTGGTACCAGGCGGGTGGTACCAGTGCAGGCTTTGAGGACGCAGAAGTATGCTGCGTCCCGGAGGCCAGGCCCATCCTCCCTGGGCCCAAGGGAGGGGCTGCCAGGCTGTGGCTGAGGGTCTGTCAGGACCCAGCAGACACCACACCTAGAAAGCACGGCCTCGGCCACTGGGGGCTCCAGGTCCAGGTCAGGCCGAGGATAATGCTAGATACAGGAGAGCCCGGCCAATGCCCCAGGAAGGACACTGGCTTCTGGCAGGAAAATCTGGAGCCAGCCTCGGCCCCTGCGTGGCTGCCCCATCCACCTGGGTGAGGCCCTGGCCCGAGCACCTCCAGCCCCCTCAGGGTCTGCTGAGGACGGCAAGGCAGGCTGAGGCTGGGGGCGGGAGGGGACCCTCAGCCCGGGCTCAGGGAGGGAAGGCGCGCCTGTCCCGGCATCGCCCCAGTCTCGGAGGATGGGCACTGCACCCCACATTCTCACACCCCAGTGCTTCTTGGCTCCAGGTGCCAGTTAGTGACCCTTCTGTCCTTTTAGGGACAACTGACGGGCGTCTTCTAATGCTTTAATGTTAAAAGTCTGGGTGGGCACTTCATCACACTCAGTTAAAAGCTGTGTGAGGGCTTTTGGCCACAAAGACAAATGGTTTCTTGTAACAAGTGTTGAACTCGCTTCACCAAGGAGCCTGGTGGTCACTTCTGCTCCAAGTCGGGGTCTGGGGCCCGTCAGTGCGGAGCGACCACGGTGGAGCCACAGACCCTTCTCCTGGGTGTGCACACCTGGGTACCTGGGTACCTGGCGCGCTCCTTTGCAGCACCTTCTGGAAACACTGAACTGCTCGGTTCATCCCAGGTAACAACATGGAAACCGCCCAGGGAGGGCCAGGGCCACTGTCCATCTCCCATCACCGGGGGGCCTGGTGGGCTCTGAGGAACCCGGTGTTTGAGTCGAGGTCTCCATCACACCGTGCAGGTCCCCGGGGTAGCAGGTGAGAGGCGGGGGGCACCATGCAGGGAGGCAAGGAGCTGCCCACCCTACACTCCAGGGAATTGCTGCACGTGCTGAGAGGCTACTGTGTCCCCGGAGTGGCCTCTCCTTCCACGCCACAGCCCCATCTGAAAGACTTGGCTGGTCACCTGTCCAAGCCCGAGTCCACTGGAAACTCGTGTTCTCCATCCCCAGCAGCAGACCTCCTCTCAGAATGCCGCTGTGCCGCTGCAGGAAGGAAACCCCGTTTTTGGCCAGAAGACAAGGCTGGGCTTTCTTCCTAGTGAACATGCCGGACGAGAGCCAACCCTGGGAGTCTTCCAGTGGTGACCACTTCCCGCATTTGGGGTGCACCCACATGTGGGCACAGACATTTGCAGGAGCCCCTCCAAACACCCTCGATGGACCTCCGCCCACCAGAGGCCGTGTCCGAAGAGAGTAGCCCTCCCTCCGCTCTCAAAACCCCTCGCCACAGGTCCGCGTAGTGAGAAGAGCTGGAGGTGCTGGGGGAGGAGCCGCCTCCAGGCCCCTTTCTGTTCCGTGAGTTGCAGTGAAGGCGGGGCTCCCGCTCACTTGGGGTCAGATGTGCCCCAGGACAGCTGGCCCTTGCAAAAGGGCCTCACTCCGGGACCAGGGCAGCACCCAGCACATTCTTCCGAGGTCAAGTATGGTCTTTCCAGGCGAAGGCCCTGCGGGTCCCCTCCAGCCAGAGGCGCCATGTCCACGAACCCTTGTTAATAGTGCAGGTGGGACCGAGGCCCCCCCTTTGCCACCAGCCTGCCCGAGTCAATTCTCAAGCTGCCGTGCGACGTCCCTCTTGGTGGCATCTCGCGGAAGCCCCGTGCACGTCCTCGGCGGTGAGTTCTCGTCAAGCGTGGTCTTGGAAGGAGAGAGAAGGGAGAGGGTGTGAGACACCGTGCCTACGCGCTTTCCTTTTGGCGGCAAGAGACAGATTGTGTCAGGACTCAGGATGCTAGAACAAAGGGGTGGAAGACGGCACGTGCAAACAGCATGCTTCGTTTGAGATGAGGCAGGCCCCCGTTCTGGGACCTCCGGAGAGCATCTCCTGCAGCCAGTCAACCAAGGTGACCCGGGCTCACCTGAGTAACAGGTGGGCCCACTCGTGGTGGGTGCACCCTCCCCAGGATGACCCCTTCCCATCAGCAGAGACACGGGGCTCAGACAGGTACAGTTCTTTGCCGGAGGCATCCTGCAAGGGCTGGCCTGACTGCAAAGCCCTCACAGCCCAAGGCACCTACTGGTGGGAAACTCAAGACTGTGGGTGAATACTTTTCCCAAGCTGAGGCGGGACTCACATGACCTTTGCTCTTGGACCTGTGGGTGCTCGCCTCCCCCAGGGAGCCCCCGGGAACGCTTCTATTACACAGCACTCGATGTCAGGACTCAGTGTCAGGAGGCGGACGGGGCCCTACGCGCGGAGGCAGCGAGGGTGGAGAGGGGGCTCGGTGGGGCTCCCACGGTCATGTCATCATCCTAGTCTCCCTGCTTCTGTGTGTGTTTGGAAAATTCCGTGAGCCAACGTCAGCCAATGTCCACAAGGACAGGGCTAAATGCCGAAGGCAGCCAGTGGGAAATGCCTTCACTGGGGGTTTCAGTGTCTCTGCAAATGGAAGTATTTCTGTCCTCATCACCAAGTACTGCTCGTGTCAGATGGCAAGTACAGAGGAAGTGGCTGCCAAGCCGCCCAGGCCCACGTGACCAACACACTTTGTCCCCGAGCCTCGTCCTCTCTAGGCAAACTCACCGGTGAGTTGCAGCTCCGGTCTTGCAGCCCGAGCACCTGCTGGAACAAACCAGAATTGCTCAGGGCGGGCAGCGAAGCATGGGGAGGGGCCGCTGTGAAGACCCCAGTAGTCCGAGTGCTGGGGGCGGGAACGCACCCACAGCGAGGGGCTCCCCAGGCCACCCTGCTTTGGGGAAGATGCTTTCTAAGACCTCAGTGTGGGAGGCATGTGAAGACGCTCAATGACCCAGACCCAGGGGCCCCTCCACAGCCTGGCCGATGGGCGGCGGGCCGTGGGGGGTGGGCAGTGTTTCTGAGATGATGGACAACACACTGGAAACCCCAGGCAGCACAGAGACACTTCTGCCCGGAAGTGCGCCTGCTGTGGGCGAGCTCTCTAACCTGGCTCAACTAGGGTCAGCGCTCACCCATCCTCCGGGGGGCCCAGAAGACGCCCAACTTTGCGGTTAGGTCCTGTGCCGACGCCTGCCAACCTCCACCAGCAGGCTGACCCGGGGAGACTGCCCTGTGCCCACGTTCTAGGCTTCTCTGCCTCCCTGCGAGCTCTGCTGCCTGGTGTTACAGCTCAAACCCGGCTTTCCGGATCTGTCTGTGAGTTGGGCAGGAATTTGACAGACAGCCTTGTCGGGACTGAAGGCAGCTCAGCGTCCCTGGAAATGAACTCTGTCCTGACTCGGAGGTGTCCTTCCCAACCCAGACCTGGGAGCCGGTGTCGGGAACCTGGAGCCTCAGACCTCAGGCTTCAGACCCACACCTGGGAGCTTTGGCGGAGGTGCACGCGTTCAGGATGCTAACGCTATTAAAACCGCCCTTCCACCAAAACCAACTTCGTGCAGAGCTTTTTAAACATCTTGAGAAAAGCAAGAATGCTCACTCCCACCAAATAAACGCCAACCATCCGCACGCGCACATGGCCAGGTACCTGTGTACGTCCAGTGGCGGGGACACCTCCTGTACGCCCAGACCGCAGCTGCCGCCGCTAAGACCGCACCCAGCAGCAGCACCACAGGCACGGCCACCTGGGTCCCGGTGGCCCCGGTTCGCCTCTCGTGGGTGTCCTCGGGGTTTTTTGTGATGCTGTCTTTGGTTCCCATTAACGTTTCTATGAGAAACAGGAAAATAACCTGAGACTTACAAGGGTGAGGAGGAAAGGGGTCTTTTTTTCGTCCTGAGGAAGAAAGTGCTGTGGGGAGTATCAGTCACTTCCATGACAGCATTTTGTGACTTTTAAAATATAAAGCTGATGGAGAGGAAGGCTTTCCTCCAGGTGTCACTCCTCCCACCCGCCTGTGTGACATGCAAGCCCGCCCTTTCTAAAGGTCCACACCTGCGGAGGGGCGCGGCGGGAAGCACTGATTCTTCCTGGCGTTTTACATTTAACTTAATGTTTTTTCTAGCTTTTTTGCTGACTTTTAAAAAAATATCAAGGCTAAATTCACATGACATAAAATTAACCATTTTAAAGCGAATAATCCACTGTCACAGAGTGGTGCAGCCGCCACCAGGACCTAATTCCAGGCCTTTTTTGTCACAGGAAAACCATCCCCATGAGCAGCCGCCCCCCCGCCCCCCAGGTGCTGATCCAAAGGCTCGGGGCACCGGGCCCTGTCAGGCTCCCAGCGCATCCCACAGCACAGCTGGGGTGACAGCACCACCCTGGGGGAATCTTCCGGTCCCCTCCATCTGCTGCCCAGGCTGCTGGGCCAGGGAGGATGCTGGCTGGGAGGCAGCGGTCAGAGGCGGGCTTCTCAGTGCCGCCCTGTCCTGGTCCGCTCAGGCTCAGGGACCGTGACCACTGAGCCACAGGGCTGCACTCTGATTTTGGGAAGGAGGGTGTCCAGCCCTGCAGGAGTTCCTGGCGGTCAGGGCCAGCATCACAGCCTGTGACCTGGGCAGGCTCATGGGGACTGTGCTTGGCGTCACGCTGTGCTGTCACTGTCTTGGACTCTTTCAGGTCCCAAACAAGGAGCCCTGCACTGCTTTACATTGTGCCCCGGGCCCCGCAGAGCATGTCATGGGCAGTCCTTTCCTGCAGCGGGCAGGGCCCACAAACCCACCTTCCACCCTTCACCTCTCATCTCAACACTGGTGACAGGGACACAGACAGATAGCCCGTGGCCTCTGCGAAGGAGTCACCAGTCTGTGTCCCTTCCATGGGGAGGCCATGGGCCAGCAGCCCTAGGCCCCCGATAGGGGCCCAGTCTTCCCAGGGGGCACACACCCAAAGGTGAGGCGGTCAGTGGGGGCCACGCGGGCGTGGGCTTCAACTCCGATACTGTCACTGCCTAGTTCTGGGGCTTCTGAAGTGTCACACAGCTTTTCAGAACCTCAGTCCCTCGTCTGTGAAATGGGCCACCAAACTGACCCCCCGAGTGAAGGTTCAGTCACGTGGTGTGCACTGAGCTCCCAGCCCCACGCCTGCCCCACGGACGCAGCGATTTCGTCATCACGCTCCGGACTCTCCGCTCCTCTCCCTTCCAGCCACCATTCTGATGCCGCTGACAGGTCACCTTGTAGGGACTTTGTCTTCTGGCTGAGGGACTCTGCCAAGTCACCGGGGCCCACAGCCTCGGATCGGGGTCAGCGCGCAGACCCGGTGCCTTACCCGTCTCCTCCGTCTGGCTGCTGGTCAGGTTCTGAAGCAGCAGCACGTTCTCGATGCAGCAGTCAACATTCAAGTTGGGGGTCCAGCGGACCCTCAGGACACTGACCACGTCGTACAGGCCCAGCGCGTTCACGGACACCGTGCTGTTCTGCAGCGCCTCGTCCAGGAGGCTGTTGTCGGTCTTGTTGATCCAGAACACGTTGGGCCTGGGGTAGCCGCCCATGGACGTGCACGTGATGGTGAGCTCCTCGCCCTCGGGGGTGCCGCTGGGGGTGCTGACCATAGGCATGCTATAGGGTGCTGTAAGAGAGGGAAAGGGCAGTGAGGGGTGCCCGGAGTGATAGGAGTGGCCCATCATGCCACTGACCCTGGTGGAGAGGCAGGCCCGGGGCTGCGGTCTGGGCAGCGGGCACTAGCCCTGTTCTGTCCAACAGTTGCCCCCACTTACCCCCAATTGGGGGTTACTCAGCCCGGGGCAGTGATGGCCCCATTCCCTGCTCCAAGGAGGTCGGCCTTATTTGACTAGTGACATGGGGGGCTTGCAATTCATCTCAAAGGGACAGAGCCCATGTCTGCACTAAACTGTGCACTGAGCTGCCTTGATTTTCTTCCTAAATTCTGGTCTCTTTTAGTGCCTCGTGATACTCCCTCCTAATTCTATTCTTAAAATCTAATCTGAGTTGAGTCGGAGAGTTCAAGGCAAAGACAGCGAGATTAAAAGTTCAAACTGGTGGTCAGCTCATGGGAAACTCGCTTACACGTCGAATGGCTTTTCAACCAGTTCAGCTTCACGCAGTTAAGCAGAAGCCTGCTAATCGAGACTGGGGTTTCCTTCACAGGAAGAACCAGGTGAATGGGCCAGAAAATGCATCTTATTAATGCTTCCTCCAGGCCGTCAGGCTGGGCTGAGGTCAGCTGTCAGTGTCACCGCTCTTACCTGCCACGTGCAGCGTGACCACAACATCCAAAATCCTCTGTGCCTTCTGAAACACTATGCAGTTAAACTTCTGTTCATCCTGAGGGGTGACATTGTACAGATGCAGAGAGAAGTCGCCCCGCTTCATGCTGTCCAGTGACAAGTGGGCCCGGTCCTTGTACTGGTTATTGTAATGGCGCGCGGATCGGTTCTGTGGCAGGTAGTAAGTCACGATCATCAGTTTGTCAGCAACACCAATTTGCCAATAAACAAAAAGGTCCTTTAAATCAAAACTGCTTTCTTTGGTGTAAATGCAGTTGAGCACGACATCGCTGCCCACCATCGCCCTGGCTTCTTCTTCTTGAATATCTGCAATGAACCAAAAAGTACAAAATTTATTTTCCGAGGTTTCCTCCTAGCCTGCAAAGTTCTTCTGGGAGGGTTGGGGGCAGTTTCAAACACCAATTCTGAGTCGTTTCAGTAGAAGAGGAATATCTCCATAAGATCCACGCAGGAACGCAGTATTTTAACAATTCAGACGTGCCTGGTAAGCTCCTACGATGTATTGTCTAGTGCTGATTTCCTGTCAGCATGGAAGAGGCTAGCACTGGGAGATGGGGGACCACAGGACACCGGGACGCCCAGGACCACACTGCACTCTTTCTGCTACTTCTTGGGAGTTTATACTCACATTTTAAAAGTTGTTTTTTGGATTTTTTTAAAAAGATTTTTATTGGGGAATTGGGGGATGGGAACAGTGCTGGGGAATCAGGGGAAGGGGAACAGACAAGTTGCTGTCGTTTTGTTCTTCAGTCTAGTTGTGGAGGACGTTGTTTCATGGGCCCAAGTTGGCACCATCATTGCGCTCTTCCCGGGCGAGGCAGATCAGTCGCCGGCTTCTGGACGGCCGCTCACTGCGGCTGCTGGCCGCTCACGCTGGCTGCTGGCTACACACGGTAGCCCATGGCAACTCACTGCCACAGGGGCTGCAGCCTACGCCGTCGCTGGCGACTCACGGCAGCCCAGCTCCAGGTTGAGCTGTTGTTCAGCATCTTAGCTGTGGAGGGCAGTGTCACTGGCCCTCATATGTGGGATCCGAACCGGGGCCCTCTGGCATCCCAAGCCAGCTCTTAACCATCGCGCCACTCGGCCGGCCCTAAAAGTTTTTTTTTTAAATGCCAACATTTAAAAGAAAACATCAGTTTCTCAACAGCATTATCATGCTTGCACTACATCAGAAAAGGCCTGTGTCACATACCCAGAGTGGCCTCTCAGATGCCCGCAGTGAAAGTGGCCATGTCCCCTGCCCTGGAAGGCCCAGTCAGCCTCGGTCTCAGCTGTAGTGTGCGTCCCTGGTGCTTGCCCTTCTGGAAGCTGCTGGCTTTGGGGGCTCCCCAGGGCTGACTGGGGACCAGAGAGCAGCAAGCTCCTGGCTCACGTGAGAAGCAGATGACGTGGGACGAAGTGCGCTCCAGCCACGCCTAACCCGCGATCACGCAAGAACTAGGGCGTATGGGCAAGTGTCCTCTTTGTGGCCTTCAGTCCCACACATGACCCAGGCTTGGAAGCTCAAGTCTGTCAGAGGGGCCCCTGGACCCTGCGGACGCCGGCTTTTCACACACGCCCCCCCCCCCTGCGGAGCTTACCTACAACTCCGGCTCGCAAGCCACTGAGCAGCAGGAGCAGCAGGGCAGGGCTGGAAAGAAACCAGAAAGGCAGATGAGTCCGCTGCCTCCCCAGGCAGGAGTGGGTTGCAGCCAACACAGAAATGTGACTCGTCCCCAGCCAGCCGCGCTCACCCCACCCCCGCCCAGGGCTCCTGTGGTGATTCAAGGAGGCAGCCAGGACCACCCCCCCACCTCCCCATCCTGCACAGCAAGCCCCGAGGGGCCAGCAGCCCCAGCAACCAGACAGCTCCCGAGCCTGATAGAGGGCAGCGAGAGACAGACACGCCATGGCCACAGCCTCCCACCCTCGGTGGCCTAGCCATGCAGGAGATGGCTGGAAACGGTATGGAATCAGAAAAATAAAACCACTCCCAGTGTATTTACAGCAAGAGCTACATTTAAATTTTGGGGAGACAGAGAGATCTAAGATGCCCAGAGGCAGTCAGGGGGCTGCAGGACCACCCTCTGTGGGAACCTGCTCATTCTGAAACCAAATCCGGTGGCTTCTCCCAGCTGGCAGGCGAAGCCCCCCTTTCCCCAGGGCTCACTGGGAGCCTTGGCACCCTCCATGCTCCAGCCTCACCACCCCTCCTGCAGGCCTCCCAGGAGACCCTGTCCCTGAGCTCTGGACCCACAGAGACCCCTGCCTGGCCCCAACAGCTGTCATCTGATTGCATGGAGGCACATTCCTTGCCACTGGGGACTCCCCCACACCCCACAGAGGCCACAGCCTGCAGGCAGGCCTGTCCTCTTCCACTGCCCCTGTTGAGCCACATTTGTTAGGACAGCTGTGATAACCTCCATCTCCAGTCCTGACCCTTCCAGCCAATTCCCCCAAGATACAGCAAGCTTCTGGAATACAGAGCTGCTCAAACCCCGCAGTGGCCCTCGTCTGTCTCCCACGGAGCCCACCCTGCCTGTGCTCAGGGTCCAGGGAGGAAGTGCCTGTCAGGGCCTCTGGGCTCCAGGGGCTAGTTTGCTCCCTCCCTGGGCACTGTGCCTGGGCGCCTCTCTGTACCCTCCCTCTTGCTTCTCCTCCAACCCCTGCTGTCAAACCCAACACCACCCACAACCCCTGCCTGTGCCCCAGGGTCAGAGAGGGCTACAACTGGTGGCTGTGACATTCTGGTACTTTTTTTTTTTTTCCCCTCTTGAGGAAACAGAACAGTCCTAACTACCTACCTGCATTTCTAACTGGGGAGAACTGGGGAGACTGTCCGGACTGTAGGACCCAGGTGTGGGCAGGCTTTGGGGCTGTGTGGGTAGGACATCTGGGGACCAGGTGCCTCATCAGTTTATCAAGGGAGGCACAGTCTGTTAACCGTAAAACTGCCCTGAAGGTGGTATTTTGGCAAAAACCTAGGAGCAAAGCGGTGATCCACACCTCAGGCTGGACCCACGCAGCTCCACCTTTCCCGTTTGGCTCTGTTGATGGGGGAGGGGAAATCCCAGGGGTGTGGGAGGGGGACATGTCACCAAACGGTGGGCACCAGCCAGCCGTTGAGGCTGAGTGTGCCCTTGGTACAGTGCGATCATATCCTTCATTCTTCCAACTCTGGGCAGTCCTGTGGGGGGGGGGTAGTGGCATTAAGTGGGGGAGGGGCAGTGGGCGTGCGTCGGGTCTTCTCTGCAGCTTCGCGCTTTCCCTTCCCTTCGCAGGCCCCGCCCCCAAGCCCACCCACGCCCTGCGATCCGTCCCGTGCCCCGTCCTCCCCGCACCGCACCAAGGCAGATGCCACCGGCCGGCAAGTAACCGCGATGCCCGGCCCCGCCCCATGCCGCCCGGCTCCCGGCTGCCCGCCCTCCGCGCAGAGCCCAGCCCGCGGCGCCGCGAGGTGAGCAGGTCCCCGGCCGCAGCCACCAGGGCGCGCTGGGTGCCACCTAAGGACTCCACTCGCGACGGTGGCGCCTCCACTCCTCCCCGGCTCCCTCAGGGCCAGTCCCTCCGCCTTTCACCTTCTTAGCCTCATGGTGGGGGCGAAGACCTCGGAGCGCGGGAGACCTCGGGCCGCGGGAGACTTGGGGCCACGGGAGACCTCAGAGCGCGGGAGACCTCGGGTCGCGGGAGACCTCGGGCCGCCGGAGCCCTTGGAGCGCGGGAGACCTCGGGCCCCGGGAGACCTCGGGCCGCGGGAGACCTCGGGCCGCGGGAGACCTGGGGCCGCGGGAGACCTCGGGCCGCGGGAGACCTCGGGCCGCGGGAGCCCAGCTGCAACTGCGCGCTCTCCACGCCTGTGAGGTTTTAATGAAAGCGTTATCGTTGGCTGTGAACTGACCTCGGTGCCGCCCCCGCCCGGCCTGGCCACGCCCCCCCGCCGCGGGCGGGGCGCCGCAGAGCGGAAGCGCGCTGTCTCTGAGTTGCGCCCCTCCCAGGCGGGTGCGAGTTGGGCCCGGATGGGCGCTGCAGGGGTCCCGGAAAGTTAGGAGTTTGGTGCGAGAGCTGGGCGGCCAGGGGCGCCGCGGGAGGGCGTGCCGGGCTGGGGGGGCCGCGGGAGGCTAAGCGCTGCGTCCCAGCGTCGCGCAGCAAGTACGCGCCCCATAGCGCCCCGCTCCGCCGGTTCCGGCCCTGCGGCCCGGGAGTCCCCGTCCCCTCTCCGCCCCCCCTCCGTCCCTCCCGCGGGACCTCCCGCTCTTCGCAGTGAAGGACCCACGACTGCTGAGGAACGAATGAATGGATGGATGGAAGCGCGGAGGAAAGGCGGGCGGGCTCTCCCGTCCAGCCCCGCCCCGGGTCCCCCCCCGTACCCCGCGCTGCAGCTTTGCGCTCGACGTGGTGAGGATCCTGCGCCGAGGGCCGCGGCACACGGCCCGTCACCGGCTCCGCGAGACCCACCGCGTGGTACCGCGTCGCCTTCGCCCTCGCGAGCCGGCGGGACCCGGCGCGCCGCCTTCCCGGTCTAGGAGGCGCCACGCGGAGCCGCGGAGCGCCGTCGAAGGCGCCTTTACTCCCTTCCTCCACCGCCCGGCCCTCTGCGCGGGGCCCAGCCGAGTCAGTGCCGATGCGGTGAGGGAGGGGGCGCCGCGACGGAACGGGGCGCCCTGCCTGCAGCGGCCGCCGGGAAGGGCCGAGGCTCCCAGGCACCCCGCTCAGGTCCGCAGGCTTTGCCCCGTGGAGCGGGCAGGAGCGGTGGGTTCTGTCGCCCGGCTGATGCGGAGCCGAGGCCGGATTTGGGGGAGCAGGTGGGGCAAGGGGCAGGTGAGGGCGGAGCCAAGGGGGCCTCTGCCGGCCCGCCACCCCCCTCGGGCTGTCACCCCTGGCCAGGTCCTCCGCGAGCCCTGGTTAAAAGCTCAACAAAGGCAGCACCTCTGCTCCATGGACGTTACCCTTCTGGTGGGGACGAGCAAACAAGACAAGGAAGCGAAAGAGAAGGACTGGGAGAGGGGGCGCTGCTGCTGAGGGGGGCCGGCGGCCCGGGGGACGGGGTGGGGCTTGCGGGTCTCAAGACCGGGCCCACCCCTCCCCGTCAGGCTGGGGGACAGGGATGGGGCATTTAAAGAGGCCGAGCGGCGGCCACTCTCCCTTTTCCCCGGGGAGGGCAGGGCCAGGGAGCGGCCGGGGCCCCGTTCAAGCGTCCAGTGAGGGAACAGACAATTCGAACTTGGGAGACGGGGGTCGGGATGAAAGGTGAAGCTTGGCTAGGAAAGCAGTGGGTGTGCAGAAATCAAATCAGAGCATCGTCTCAGGACGCACCCCGTTTCCGGAACCAGAAAACCAGTGCGGTCCAATGCCGGGGCTTCGACAAATGCCGCCGGGTACACAGGAGGGGGAGCACCTCATCAGGCCCAGCGGGGCTGGAGGGGACATGATGTCGAAGGCTTTGGTTTCTCTCGCCATGCGTTGGCAGCAGCTGGCCGAGAACCATGTTTGGAGAGGGCCAGCCTCAGCGTTCCTGCCGATGAGGAGGGAGGCCCGGCTAGGTGCGCCCCACCTCCCGCACCTGCCCGCGCCCAGCCCCGCCCCCAGGTCCCGTGATTCATTCAGATTGGACAGGGAAAGGCTGCGCTGCACTGATGGGCTGACGGTTTACTCCCACTCCTGTGGGAATCCCCGCTTGTTCTCAAGGATGCGGAGTGGGGAGTGGTGGACCCCACGTGCAATCTCGAGGGCTGTTGGGCAAAAATGGGTGCAGGAGAATGCAGAGCCACCCCTGGTTAAAGTCTCCGGCAGAGGGTATCCGCTCCTTGTGGAGTTGGGAAGGGAAGATGCCCAGTCGGGTGCGTCCAGGAGTGCAGCCCTTCGAGCAGCCTGGGCACTGCTCTACGGCGGGGGACCTGCGGGGGCCGACAGGGAAGAGCTGGTAGGTGCTGTGGCTGGTGGGGGAGGGGCCAGGCTCTGCTTCCTGCACAGCCCCCTAGCCCCAGACCCCAGAAGGCCAAGTGCTGCTGCCAGGCCCACCCAACAGCCGGGACTCTGGGCCCAGGGAGCATACTGTTCATTGAGCAGGCAGTGAAGTGGCAGGGAATGCAGCTTGCCTGGAAGGGGACACCCAGGCAGGACTGGGGTCATGGGTGGAAGGGCACCCCCAGGAGTAAAACCAAGACCAACCCCAGGGACCTCGACCTGAGAAGTGCGTGCTGGGTTCCAGTCCCAGCTCTGACCCTCAGGAGCTGAGTGACCCCAGTCAAGTTATGTGACCCCTCTGTGCCTGCACTTTACCCTTTGTGAAGTGGCGAGAGTTACGTCATCTTCCTCATAACACAGCTGAGTTAGTGCATGATTCTCATGACTTGATACACATAAAGCACTCACACTAGTGCTGGCACGTGGCTTACAAAGAGAGATCTCTAAGACAAATGAAAAAACTGACCTATACGCCACACGCTTCCTGCAGGGACGTTTCTCAGGCAATAGAAGGTGTGGAGGGAGCAGCCCCCTCCAGGACTATCTGGGCTGACCAGGAGACCAAGCAGGAGTTGTATTCATCCTGGGGACTCGAAGCTCTGGGTGCAGGCGCGGAAGCAAGGTGCACGGTGATGCTGGAAAGCGAGGCTCCCCCTCAGCTGCCCCACAGCAGTTCCCTGAGGTCCCCACAGCCACGTGCCTGTGACATCACAGGCGTCAGTCAATGATCCCTGGTCCCAGGAAGCCCATCTTTTCCCTTAGGGCACCTGTGGCTGCTGTAACTAATGACTAAAAGTAACAGAAATGTGTTCTCGGGAAGCTCTGCAAGCTGGGAGTCTGAAATCTGAGCTCCGCCAGGGCTCCAGGCGAGGACCTTCCTGCCTCTTTCGCCCCTGTGACCCTCCTCCCGGCATCTCCTGGCTGGAAGCTGCTCACTCCATCTCCATGGTCACGGCCTCCTCAGCTGTATGAGGCCACGTCTCCCTCTGCCTCTCCCCATAAGGTCCCTCGTGACCACATTTAGGACACACCTGCATAATCAGGACAGTGTCCCATCTTGATTCCATCGTGTCGGCCAAGTCCTTTTTTGCCATATGAGATGACATTCACAGGTTCCAGGAATTAAGACAGGGGACATCCTTTGGGGGGGTCATTATTATTCGGCCAACCATAGGGAGTCTCAGAGTGGTGGGGGCTCTGTGGATGGCATTTAAATACTTAGAGGAGGAACCTGCAGGTGTTTGGGAGAGAACTGAAGGCAAAAAGCTGTTCTGAGTAGCTATGGGCCCCTGCTTGGGACCAGCCTGATGGAATAAGGACACTAATTAGGTTGGGCCCCACAGCGCCAGTTACCTTAGGTGGGAGCAGCCTGGAGTCCGCGTGCCACTGTGCCCTGTCACATCAGTTGCGGCTGTGAGCACACGTCTCTGGTCAGCTTGGATCCAGAGCTTGGCCTCCCAGGAAGGTCTTCCCTGCCTGGATGCGCCTGTGCCCAAGCCCCTCCCTCAATGTTTCTGGGGCTGCCAGGCCCTTGGTTTCATGACAGATCTTGCTAAACTAGCCCCTGGACATGGGACCTGTGGCGTCAGCCCAGAGAAGAAGGTTCACGTTGATCTGATGAAAACGTCTGCATCTCTCTGCTCTCCAGAGAAACAGCCAACAGGACGTATATAGACAGAATCTACTTCAAAAAAGCAGCTCATGCGGTTATGGAGGCTGATAAATCCCAAATCCACAGGCGCAGGGCTGGAGACCCAGGGACGCATTAGAGGCGAGCCCACAGGCGGTCTGGAACTGGGCAGCCTCCACTGCAGCCGGCCTCCAGTGGCTTGGACGAGGCCCACTGCCTTGATCCCATCGGGCTGCTGTAACAATACCGCACACAGGGCTTATAAACAACAGAAGTGTGTTTCTCACAGCTCCGGGGGCCGGAAGTGAGATCAGGGTGCCGGCATGGTCAGGTGGGGGCCTCTTCTGCTGGCATACTTTTCATGTGCTCTCACATGTCGCACGGGGCAGGGAGCTCACAGGGGTCTCTGATTTGGACACCGATTCCACTCTGGAGTCACCTCCCAAAGGCCCCACCTCCTCACACCATCACCTTGGCGGGGGGGATGGGAACATGAATTTGGGGGGGATGCATTCAGACGGTAGCACCCACCCACATTATGGAGGGCAGTCTCCTTTCCTCAAAGTCCACCCGTTTAAGTGTTAATCTCATCCAAAAAACACCCTCATGGAAACATCCAGAATAATGTTTGAACAGATGTCTGGATGCCCTGGCCCAGCCTAGTCGACACATAAAATTAACCTTCAGACTTCTATTCTATGTCAGGATATTTTTAAACAAACCTTCGAAAAGTCCAATTTTAGTCCCACCTTTGTACCACAAAGCATCTTACATGCCACTAACAGCGCCAGCCCTGTGCCCGAGGGTCCCCAGGTCCTGGCTGTCATGTCCAGGACAAGTCGAGTGTGTATTGATCTCAGCCTGGATCCCTTTGGGGGTTTCTGGCTAATCTGGAAAGACCCCTCTGGAATTCGCCCCGTGTGCAGAAGGCGGCTCCGTCGATGCTGTCTGAGGGTTTGCCCTCAGGAGCCCAGTGCGAACAGGAAGTCACACGCTTTGCAAGTGCGTCGACCTTGGCCTCTGCGCGGTCTTCTCAGCCCCTTCTCCCTGTGCTCACCAGGCTTGAAATTCTATGCTTTGCACAGGTTTGAGGTGTGCCGTGTGGCTGTCATGAGGGTGAGTGGTTTTACCTGTCACAGCCCGTGGCTGTCACGTGACGGCTTCACGCCATGCACATACAGAGCTCGTGCAACACGCGCTTGTAAAAGTGTGTCCTGCTCGCCTTTCTTGCCCACACCCCCATGTCCCACAGAATCAAGTACTATGCTTATACATATCAAAACACCAAAAACGACCAACTCTCGTCATAAGTGTATTTTTAACTTCTCAACCGGCACACACAAACGTTTCAGCGGCACACGACACACTGTGAGCCTGGTGCTTCATCCCCTCCCTTGAAAGGGCATGATGGGGGTGGGGGGGGCTTCTCCAGACCCAAAGGGAAGGTTGGTTTCTAGCAATCATGGGAAGTCCAAAGTCAAGCAAATAAAATAACTTGTAGAAGAAAACGGAGAAAATATCAGGATTGTTTTTGTTCTAAGAAGTCTTTTTGTTTTTCATGGTATAATGACTCATTTATGAAGAGGAAGTGAGTCCCGCCGAAAAATACTTGAAATATTCTCTCAGGGGGAGAAAACAGTTTTTCACCAGCTTGGCTGGTCCCGGGGTGGGGGACTTCGCTCTCTGCCTGTCCTGGGCCAGCAGGGACAATTCCTCTTGAGGCACCAGAGCCGAATGCCTGCTGCTAAGGAGAGGACACACGTTACCAATGGAGCACCACGTGTCCCCAGGCCAGGGGAGGGTGGCAGGCAGGGAGGGCCGAGGTATGGCTGGTGCCAGTCTCGCCAGACAGCGCGGAGATCTCTCAGTTTAAAGCCCTTAGAAGAGCCCAGAGCACCCACATCCAGAGCAGTAAAGGACGAGATGGCCCCCACACAGCCCGCCTCCCCCAGGGAGGAGCTGGTCCTGCAAGAAACAGGCAGAGAGGGTCCTCGAGGGCAGACCCTTGGCCCAGCTGGGTGGGTTGCCCCTTCAGTGAGAAGCAGCTATCATGGAGCAAACCCACAGAGAAGGGGCAGGACTTAGGGCAAAGGCTGGACAAAGCACATTGCACGTCATTCCCAAGGAATTCTGATACACCCAAGACCCAGAACAGCCAGAGCCGTCCCGAGCGTCCTATGGTGGCCTGTGCTTCAGGCCCTACATGCTGGGCAAGTGGGTAAGGAGAGCCTGAGACCCCAAACTTGCAATTTGATGCAACCCATGGGACTCAAGGCCCCACGGACGTGGTGCCCGGCAGCCCTAGTTCATGTTCCCAGGCCCCCAACTGGAGTCAGTGAACATTCCTGGGTTTCCTTTGGGAAGCAAAGACCACAAATGAGGCAGCAGAAACAAGCAGCGTCCCTCGCCGGCACCCCCTGCACCACCTGGGGCAGCCCGACTGCCCAGAGACAGCTGCCCACCATCTCAGCAGGAAGTGTGCTTCCCGTAAGCTTGGGTCTCTGCCCTTACTGGTAAGACAACAGATGCCTGAAGTGCAACCGCCCTGTTTCTGGGAACCAAGTGGCGGGAGGCCTGGCGGGCAGGGGAGATTGGCAAACGTAAGGGGCTGCCCACAGAATGACCCTCGGGCCTCCGAGGAGGAAGCGTCCTGGAAAGCTGCCTCACCCTAGCCCCACCTGTCACAAATCCCAGGTGAGGGCCTGGCGAGGGGGCCTGCGGGTGGGTGGGAAGAGGCTCCAGGAGGTCCCCGTGGGGTGCAGACAGGACCCAGCTGTCCACGGTTCACACAGGACCGTGCTGGGCGGGGGGTGCAGGGGGAGAAGCCGGCCAGCCCCTCAAGGGCGGGGGGACAGGGACAGTGAGAGCCAGGGCAGAAAAGCTGCCTGAGGCGCAGGGTTGGCCAGACGCGGGGTGTGGGGGTGTGGGGGAGGATGGCAGGCAGAGAGAATGTTCATGAGAACGGACAGTCAGAGAATGTCCAGCGGCCAAGGAGGGGGACGCGGGAAGGCCCAAGGCCAGGCGTTCAGAGAGAGAAGTCCTGTGCAGCCCTAGTGCGTTGTGGGCGTGGGAGCGAGTGTGAGGTGAGTGTGCGTGGCTTGTGTGAGCATGTGATCATGTGTCCGTGAGTGTGGGTGGGTGTAGGGTGGGCTGTGCTCCAGGAGGCTGGGGAGGGTGCCAGGCCCAGGGGCCTGAGGCCGCGTGGGGCTTTCCTCTCAGGACGCAGGGAAGCTCGCAAATCCTGAGGTGAGGCGCTCCTGGCATTAGCGTGACCCCTGGGACAAGGTCCCCAAAATGGAGGGGCCCTTCCTGCCCTTGAGCATGCCCAGGATTTGGGGGGTTGTCCGAAAGACCCACCAGACACAGCCCCCGACTGGGCACAGAGGCTGCCGGGCACGGCTGCCCCCTCAGCCCCGTTTCCTCCCTGGGCCAGCATGCCTGCACGTGCGCAAGGGCTGCAAGGCACAGGAAATACCTCCTCACGGCCGGGATATTGCTCCACACGAGCACAGCATCCTGGACAACTGTGCCGCACACGTCCTGGATGGTCACCGGGTCCACCTGTGGGTGGGGACAGCGGCCGTGGGTCAGGGCAGTCTGACAATGACCTCTGCCCCCTCCCCCCAGGACCCACGGGTCTCAGCCACTGTGTGTGATGGCGTGTCATGTGTACGTGTAGGGGGGTGCGCAGATGGAGAGTACACTGAGCTTAGCGTGAAGGGGTCACCCTCCAAGGCCCTCATGGCACAGAGTGACCCTCACGGGCCCTGAACACCAAGGCCTCAGGGGTTGGTATCTAAGCTGCCACCCCCTGAAAGGACCCGAGTGTCCCCGGGGAGGCCCAGCCTGGCAGGCACCTTGCACGCACCTCCAGGAAGCGCGTGGCCACCGAGCGGTCGTCCTTGCTCATCAGCAGGTTGTCCACGAACATCCAGAAAAAGGGCTGCGGGCGGCCCGGCCGGGGCCTCGCGTACTGCAGGATGCGGTGGAACTGGAACAGGTACCAGCCTGAGGGACCAACTGGTCGGTACATCCGGTCTGCCCGGCGCAGGGATGTGGGGCGCGAGTGCAGGGCTGGGGGTGCCTTGGGAGGACTAAGCTCTGTGTGGCCACCAGCGTGTTTCTGCGTCGTGGCAGACGTTCCAGAACCCACCACGCTGCACGCCAGAGATCCACAGAAAGGCGCTTTTTAAGTGCAGGCGATTTGCAATTTCCATCGTCCCGGAGGAGGGCTGGGGTGGGGCATGGGGCGAGAGGGCCCAGGACTGGGGAGATGGTGCTGTCTTACCGGGAGGTCGGTCACAGGCCTGGCCGAGGTGGGACGTGCAGCCGTACACAAGGTCGAACGGGCCCCAGTGTTCCACCTGCAGGACACAGGACACTGGAGGACACGCAGTGCGTGAGCAGGCCTGTTCCAGCAGCAGGCTCTGCGTGCCGAGTCGGGACACCTCGCACATCTAACCATTGATTCATGCCGAGGCTGGCCCAGTCGGCTCGCAGGGCCCTGGGGACAGGGGCGGGCAGTGAGGCCCACCGGGTCAGACCCACCAGTGTCCTTCTCAGTCACCACTGGTCTCGGGGAGCTCGGAGCTGGCTATCATCATCTGAGATGCTTTCCTCCTCAGAGCTGGGAATCCGAGGTAACTCTTTTGTGGCAGACGTCGCCCTACAGAACCGCTCTGGGAAGGTAGGTACACTGACCCCCCCAGGATTCATGTGGACTTTGTGTGTCGCAGGAAAATACAAAAAGCATCCCGTGACGTGACAGCCAGCAGCTCGCAGCTGGAAGCCGACCATGAGGCTGCACCCTTCCTTTCGGAGCATGAGCGGTGCCCACACAGTGGCCAAGGTCAGCCGGTCACTCCATGGTCGAGCTGGAGGACGAAGAGACACGACCACTCAGTCACCTGAGCAGAGGCCAGGAAGGGTGCTCTCCAACCATAGGAGTGACCCAGTGCGCTCTCCTGGGCGATGGACGTGAGGGGCTCTGGTTAATGACAATTGGAGCCCATGGCTTTCTTCTTTACAAAAATTAGTGAGGAGCCCTGACGACCGGCTCCTGGTGTCCTGACAGCGCCCTCCAGGGCGGACCCCTGCTGCCCCAAGTCACTTAACAAGGGCCTGCATCCAGAGTTAAGCCCCACAACCTCACGGCCCCCTGCAGTGTGTTCTCCGTGCCACAGCAGCTCCTGGTGGTGCCTGGACCCGGTCTATCGGCCTCCTGACTGCAGCGCAGGTACCGACAGGGTAAAGGAGGTGAGCGTGGGCTGCTGGTCTAAGATAAGCACCCCCTCCCCCCAGTGTGACACAGGTGTGACCCCCCAGGGAGTGCTGTGCGTGAAGCAGCTGACAGAGAGGGACCTGGAGTCTGACAGGGAACCCCGGATCTCCCCAAGCTGATTGCCCAGCGGGCTACCACACAAACCGCCAGAGCTCCTTCAACCTCCACACCTGCAGCCAGGTGGTCCGTCTGCAGGACGGGTGTCTAAAGTGCACAGCGCGAGGGCAGGACGTGGGGTCTTGTGTGAGGCCCATGTGATGAAGTTCAGGCTGAGGGCAGAGTGAGGTGTGTCCGCCCCGCAAAGAGCCCTGTCCTGGGCTCAGGGCAGGGGAGACCCCGCTGGGAGGATGGATGTGGGCTTCTCCAGCTCGGCCAGTGAGGATGGCTGGCCCCTCGGACACGGGCTCCAGCCAGACGGGGAGCAGGGCTGTGGGGCCCTGGCCGGCACCCGGGTGGGTGGAGCGCACCCCCAGATCAGCCCTTTCCTTGTTGCCCCCTCCTCGCCTGCAACGGCTAGCGTTTCCGGCCCCCCAGACCCTCTGCCCAAGATTTCCAGGCTGTGTCCCAGCATGGGGGCAAGCGAGAGACCAGGGTCCTCCTGCCCTGAGGCCACCAGGAGGTCGCTTCCTGTCCTTTTTCCTATTTGCCGTGAAGGGCTGGACGTCAAGCTGGCGAGCCATGTTAGGCACTTGCTCCAAGGCCATATCCAAGGTGGCCGGAGCTCGCCTTCGCGGGAACCAGGGCATTTCATGACAGTGTTCAAAGGATGTTTGCAGTCAGCGCTTGTTGAGCTCAAGATGAGGCACTTTTACGTTAGGGGGAGGGTGGGCCTAAGTCCTGTCGGGGCAGCAGCATCACAGGTGGTGGCAATGGCGCCTGGGGTTCAACAGGTCCAGCAGCAGGTTGGGCCGATCACTCTGCTCTGGGCTGTGGGCAGCGTGGGGGCCACGAAAATGCCCCTGTCATCTCTCCCATTGTGGGGTGACAGCCAGCGACGGTGCCAGCGGGTGCCAAGTGCCTCGAGACCCCCCACGTCCGCCCTCACTGGGGTCAGAGCTGTGCAGCGTCCGGGCGCCCCACCCCCACCCCACAGCAGCCCCCTCGGGACCATTTGTACATCTGCTGTCGTCGTGGCGCGAGGACAAACAGGCTGTACTTACGTCCCTCCTCACGACGTCGGTGACATCATCCAGATGCCTCAGTCTGTCTGTGCCAGAACCATCCTCCAAAAAGCCCAAACTCGTCAGCTCTGGGTGCGGAGAAATAAGGACACAGAAGGCCTCATGTTGACTTTCGCCCCACATGGAGTCAAAAGGCCAACGACTGACCAGAACGCCCATCTGTCATGAAGGAGCAAGCCGTGTCCTTCCATGTCGGGGCCTGAGGATCAAGGCATCTGCTGTGTTAGGCTGAGCGAGCAAACTCCTCCCAGTATAGAGTTGAGAAAGGCAAGCAATTTGTTGTGAAACCAGCCTTTCCAGGCTGATGTCACGCCCTGGGTTAGGAAATCCACGGGGCGGGCGGCAGGACCCATGCTGATGTCACCTAGCCAGGTTGCGTGACACGGCGGGCGAGCTGCTGGAGCCCCGTTATGGACTTGAGAGTCTGGCCTGGGGACGGGAAGCCAAGCCCAGACAGGACCTTACCAATGGGACTCAGGGCTGTGTCCTTGGGGGGAGATGAAGGCAGGGCCGCCGCGGCCTGACTTCCAGTCCCTTCAGCTCAAGAAGGGCCACCCTGTGCGAGTCTCAGGCCCCTCGTCCATCTGTGACACGGCACGTGAGGCCTCTGTGACTACATTGCACGGGGCACACAGCACAGTGCCCAAAGTGGGGCGGGTCCCCGATTCCATCCGGCCCCAGACTAAGGGATATTTTCCTAGATTCTCAAGTCTGCTGGGCCCAGAAGAACCCATGGTTTCCAAAGGCACCAGCAGGTGAGGGTCAGCCTGGGGCCCACAGCGGGCAGGACGCCCGAGCAAGGCTGGACTGCCGCACACGACGGCCAGGACGCACCAGGGGTGAGGGCGCCGGGAGCCCTGGGCAGAAGGGGCAGCCCTACAAGCTAGCCAGGGGAGCAGAGGGGTCTGAAGTGGCTTTGGTGCTTGGTGGCCACGGGCAGAGAGCTTGCCCCATGGCCCTCACTAACAGCATTTCATATCTGCCATCTGCATTTTCTTTCCAAGGCCCATCTTCTGAAGAAATGAACTCCAGGGCAGCTGCACGAGCCACCCCCCCACTACCCCCCCACCCCTGAAAATGACCCTCAGCCCTAGCAGCCTGGAGCTGCCCCAGACGCTCAGCGAGTGTGACACTGGGAACGTTCTAAACCCCCCACACACCTGGGTCCCCTGTCGGGCTCGCTCTGGGTAGGCACAATTTCAGTGCGAGCCCTCTGGGCATCACCACACTCACCTTTCCTGATGTCCCCAAAAAGGGCCAACACCCGGACGGGCTCTCTCTTCCACACGGGCACAATTTTATACATCTCAAAGGGACTCTCCTATTTATTTTAAAAAAAAATGATGATGACATTCTGAGGACAACCTGGTTACGGAGCCCGTGTGTCACCTGGAGACCCCTTTCTGGCCAGCAGAGGCATCTGTCTCCCTGATGGACAGACACACCTGGGACCCCACTGCCCCAGGCCGGCCATCTCTACTAAAGGGCAAGCAGACCAGGGTCTTCTCCTGCGCGTGGAGGAAGACAGGCCCATCCCAGGAGGAAACACTCCCTTTGTGTTTCTCAGGGAGAGCCCCACTTCTGAGGACTCTGAAAGTAAGCAACAGTGGGGTTCACCCCATTCTTCTCCTTCCTCATGGGGGCTCTGAATATAGCTAACTGCCTGACACCCCTGAAAGCTGCCAGCAGGAGGCCCTTCTCAGGCTGCAGACCGAGACCTACTGTGCCAAGAACCTGTGCCCAGAGCTCAGCCGTAAAGGAGCCGCGCTGAGAGCCGAGGCCTGGGGGTAAGGCCCGCCGACCCCTTCCAGGACACTCAAGGAGAGACCTGGTTGGTGCATTTGAGAAACAAGCTCCCAGAGCCCTTGCCCCCATGAGGTAGCCTTTGGGGGTGCCTGGCCTCCAGCAAACAAGACATCCAACTGCCAACGACTGGAGAGCAGGCCTGAGCTGGGGCTGCCTGCCTGGGAGACTAACAGGGGACCCCAGGCCACACGGGAAGGGGTCCGCCTGGAGCTCGAGAGATGGGACAGTGCCAACCCAGGCGGTGAGTGAATGAGCAGGGGAGTTGGGGGCAGGCAGCCCTGGATGACTGGAGGAAGTGGGCGGGGGCGGCGGGCAGGGCCGCCCCGGCACAGGCACAGCTCTGATGACGCTGGGACGCACGTCCTTGTCCCCCGCTGCAGCTACAGGAGCAGAGCAGTGCCCTCCGTGCTTGGCACTGGGCCGGCATCACCACCATTTCTGAATGTCTATTTCATTTTCTTTCGAGGTGAAGCTCCTGCCCTGTGCACGCACAGGTCACTCCACGCAGAGACGGGCGCTTCCTGCCACTAGAGGGCCCTGGGAGAAGGCTCGCAGCATGCCTCTTCCAAAATCACCAGAAAGACACCTGCACAGGTTGTCGTGAACACGTCCACACTCCCAGCCTGTGTCAGGGAGACTGGGATGGCACGCCCGCCCGTGGGCCCCGCGGGTGGGCCCGGCAGTGCCGTGTGCCATCCCCAGAGCCGGTCCTGGCCTCTCGGCCCCCGCTGTCCTCTGCTTGCTCTCAGAGTGCTCTCACCCTTCTGTCTTAGTTTCCTGGGGCAACCACCACAAATGGAAACAAACTGTGTGGCTTAAAACCGCAAGTTTATTCAGAAGGCCTGAAGTCCCGAGTTGGGCGTCAGCAGGGCGGCTCGTCTGGAGGCCCGAGGGGGCTCTGTCCCAGGCCTCTCGCCAGCTTCTCCAGGTTAGATGTCCGGCACTCCCTGGGCTCCAACCTCTCCCCCATCGTCACCTGGCCATCCTCCCTCTGTATGTCTCTGTCTCCCAATCACCTGTCCTTTCTCTTATATGACACCAGTCACCACATTTCAGTCCTGCCCTGGTCCAGGATGACCACATCTGGAGACCCTTAACACAGTTACATCTGCAAAGGTTGTCTTTCCAAAACAGGCCACGTTCACAGGTACCAGGAGTCAGGACTTGGACAGATCTTTTCAGGGACGCAACTCATTCCACTTTGATGAGCCCATAGTTCCTGCCTAACTCCCGGCTCCTGGCCTTGACCCTCGAGAGGCCCCGCATCCGTGCCGGCCGCCCAGGGGTCCACTCCCACTCGTTGGACTTGATGGCACACCTCTGCCGAGCCCCTGTCCTATCTGCTACAAACGCCTCAATCCCAGGCTTGGAACAAACAAAACCACCATGCGCAACGCAAGTAATTAAGAAAAGAGGCCACGTGATGGGTCTGCTGTCAAAGAGGAAAACCAGAAAAGCACATTTGCTGAACAGCCCCGCCTTTGCCTTGTACCCAGGACAGGTGGGCGTTTTGCAACTAGTGACCAGGGGAAGCAGCAGAGCTGGGCCCGCCGGCACCTGTCTATCCTCTGGGCGGCACCTTACCGACTCCTGGTCATAGAGGGCCTTCAGCCGCCCCCGCCACTTGGGCCTCTGCCGCAGCAGCCCGCAGCGGGGGAAAGGCAGACACAAGAAGCACACCCAGTTGCTCATGGCCTGGACCTTCCCCGAGGTCCCAGGGCCCGCCAGGGCGTCCACGCACTCGAAGCAGTAGCACCTAGAGGGGAGCAGAAAACCAGCGACTGAGATGAAACGGCCTCAGTCAGCCACCAAGGGAAAGCGCGTCTGTCCGCCGGCGAGGGGAGCCTGCCCCGGCTTTGGTGCCAGCGATGGAAACCACACCGGGCTCACGTGAGCAGACAGAGTTGGCCTTGGCCATCAGCGTCTCACACGGTGGAAAGGTGAGGCTGTGGACCAGGGAAGGGGGACCAGTTCCTCTTAGGGACCCCTGGCCATGACCAGCAGCCCCCAGGGTGCAGGGCTTCCCTCACTGCCCTACATCCTGATCGACAGAGCAGCTACGCCTTGGCAATAACAATCACAGAAAGAAAAATTGGAAATTCAGATGTTTGGACGCCCTATCTGCCATTGTCAACGCTCTACCCCAGGTGAAATTTTTGAGATGGGAACTGAAAGCTTTGGAGAAAGCCCTCCTTTGCAGGGGAAGTCCCTCACACTCCGGGATGTGTGGCTGACAAGGATGGAAACTTCCTAGGCTCCTGGGCCCTCAGTCGACCCCACCTGGGCGCTCCTCGCCTCACCGGGTGCAGTCGGGGTTTTCACAGATGAGCAGCGTGTTGCCCGTGCAGCAGATGGAGCAGTAGGACTGGTACCCGTCTTCGTCGTACAAGAAGAAGCAGTCCAAGAACTTGTCCTTGGTGAGGGACAAACCCGGCCGCTGCCTCCTCTGCTCCAACGGAGGCGTCCGCGACCACCCCTCACCTCCCTGCTTACCTTGCACGGGGCACATATCCCTCCCTCAAACAGAGGGTGCTGAGTATACACCTGAAAACTTCCACAGCAGATGCACAGGTCTACGGGGGACAGCCAGAGGGCGGCGTGTGTCACAACACCCTCAAGCAGAGCAACACGCTTGGGGGTGAATTTAACAAAGCAAGTGCAAGCCCCATGCATTGAAAACCACGGAGCACCGATGAAAGAGATTCAAGATCTGAATAAACATAGGATGTCCCGTGTTCATGGATCAGAAGGCTGCGTATTGTTAAAGCGGCACGCCTCCCCCACAGAAATGGATAAGCTGATCCTAAAATGCATGTGGAAAAGCAAGACATCCAGAACAGGCAAACCCATGGAGAAAGGTAGTAGATCCCTGGCTGCCCGATGTTGAAAGAAGAGGGGTGGTAAGGAAAGGCGTGACACGGCCGTGGAGTTTTTTCTGGGGAATTGGTGATAAAAATGTCCTCAAATTAGATTGTGGGTGTGACGGCACAACTCTGTGAACATCCTAAAAGACACTGAGCTATACACCTTAAGCAAAGCTTTGGGGGCTGGGCCGGTGGAGGGGAGGGGAGCAGGGCAGCTGCGGTGTCGCTGCCCCCTTCCAGGGATGGACGCCCGGGTGAGGCCGCAGCACGCCTTTCCAGAGCTGGCTGACATCCCCCTTTACCTGGGCGTGGGCAGGTGTGCGACCACTCACCTTCTATGTCTCGCTGGTTAACCTTGACTTCGTATGCGATACGGTCTGGAAAAGAGAATTGAGCAGTGGACCCTTCCTTCTTCGGCGGGTCTGCCATTTAAACACGGCTGAGAAGCGTGTCACAGCTGGTCTTCTGAAGTCACAGGAGCCAGAGGACCCCCTCCTCCCCCCACCTTTCCTGGCATGTTAAACATCCAGGCTTGGGGGGGCCTGGGGGGGCCTTCCTGGCCCTGCCAGGTACCTGAATGATGTGTGAACATTCCTAGGTGTTGCCCAGGCCTGGGGTTGGCATCCTAAGTGATAAGTGGGCCCTCACCTCTGCGGAGCCTTGGTGACCCGGGGGACGACAGCTCACTGGAGCCCACCAGGATGACGTCCATGTTGCACTCTGCACCTGGGTCCAGGACTGACACAGCCACCATGGGGATGCCGCCCAGGAGACAGGACACCCGTGAGCAGAGGAGGAAATGGCCCCCGGCCCTCAGCACGGGGGACAAAGCCGACCACCCAGCTCGGCCCCCACCCACCTACTGCGACACCCACTCCTCCCGACGCAGAAGGAAGGTCATCCGGGCAGGAAGGCTGGAGGTCAGTGCCAGCCTTGAGAGGGGTCTCGGTGTGGCCCGTGTCTTGTCCTTCCCCGCCCGAGGCCCCTGCCACAGGTTAAGGTCAGGTGGTCTTCCTTCCACACAGGGGACGCCGGGGACCTCACAAGGGCCGACGGGCTGAGGCCCACCCGCAGCTGTGGGCCCCTCAGCCCCCCCATGCTCCCGCCTCCCACAGTGTCCCCAGACCCTAGCCTGTGGCCCCTCAAGGGAGAAGGAGAAAGGGCTCACAGATCTCACAGGGCGGCTGCCCGGACTCCTCATCCGGGGACCCGGCCGCGTCAGGGTCTAGGGGCTCCAGGCTCAGGACCCCCGGGGAGGAGACGGCCATGGAACCAGGAGAAGGGGCCTCCCAGAAACCAGCAAGAAACACGTCAGGTGGAAGGACTGGGGGCCACCAGGGTGTGGGCGGCTGAGCAGCACTGCGGGAGGGGACGCAAGGTCCCCCAGGCGTGCGGGGGCGGCAGGGGTGGGGCAGAGCAAGCAGCCCTACGTGTGAGGGGGTGTTGGGTGGAAGGGTGAGGGCTCAGTAGAGGGGTGCTGAGTGAGGGATGGACTTGGGGTGGGGGGCTCAGGGCTCAGAGCAGGGACAGCTCGGTGGGGGAG